GGGGGAGGGGCAGAGAGAGAGGGAGACACAGAATCGGAAACAGGCTCCAGGCTCTGAGCCATCAGCCCAGAGCCTGACGCGGGGCTCGAACTCCCGGACCGCGAGATCGTGACCTGGCTGAAGTCGGACGCTTAACCGACTGCGCCACCCAGGCGCCCCTGTTTTGTTTCTTAAATTCCACGAATGAAATTATATAATATCTGTTTTCCTCTAACTTATTTCGCATAGCATAATACAGTCTAGTTCCATCCACGTTGTTGCAAATGGCAAGATTTCACTCTTTTTGATTGCTGAATATATATGTATATATATACATATATTTGTGTGTGTATACATATGTATGTACACACACACACACACACACACACCCCACCCCACATCTACTTTATCCATTCATTAGTCGATGGACATTAAGGCTCTTTCCATACTTTGGCTATTGTCGATAGCGCTGCTATAAACACTGGGATACATGTGCCCCTCAGAATCAGCATTTTTGTACCCTTTAGATAAATACATAGTAGTGCAATTGCTGAGTTGCAGGGTAGTTCTATTTTTAAATTTTTGAGGAACCTCCACACTGTTTTCCAGAGCGGCTGCACCAGGGTGCATCCCCATCAACAGTGCAAGAGGTTCCTCTTTCTCCTCATCCTCGTCAACATCTGTTGTTGCCTCAGTTGTTAATTTTAGCCATTCTTACAGGTTTGAGGTGGTATCTCATTGTGGTTTTGATTTATATTTCCCTGATTATGAATGATAATGATAAAGGAAAATTTACAGGAGTTCTTTGATAAAATGTGATTGGAAATTTTTGTCTGAAAAAATCTCAATTTCATGCTTATTTCTGAATAAGAGTTTGACTGGATGGAGAATTCTGGGTTAACAGTAATTTTCTTTCAGCATTATTCTGGTATATTCTGGCCTCAACTGATTATTATTGGGAAAGTGGTTATCAGTCTACCTGCTATTCCTCAGTAGGTAATCTGCCCCCTCAGTTTGCATTTAATAGATTCTCTTTGCCTTTGTAGTTTCATGAGTTGTGTACAGATGGGAAAGGAGAAATACCGCTTGGAATTTGGGGGGATGGTTCTTTAATCTGAGGACATAGGTATTTCATCAATTCTACAAAATTCTCAGCCATTATTTCTTTGAATATTGCTTCTCCCATTCTCTCTAATCTCTCCTGGAAAGTCTCTATATGTGCATGTGTATGTATGTACACGTGGATGTACATATGCATGCATGCACACGCACACGCACACACACACACACACACACACACACACTGACTGAACCTTCTCAGTCTGTCTCCCAAATGTTCATCATTCTTTTCTATTTCCATTTTTAAATTTTTTTTAACGTTTATTTATTTTTGAGAAAGAGAGTGACACAGCATGAACGGGGGAGGGTCAGAGAGAGAGGGAGACACAGAATCTGAAGCAGGCTCCAGGCTCTGAGCTGTCGGCACAGAGCCCGACGCGGGGCTCGAACTCACAGGCCGCGAAATCATGACCTGAGCTGAAGTCGGGAGCTTAACTGACTGAGCCACCAGGCGCCCCTCTATTTCCATTTTTAAAAATCTTTCCGTGTTGCATTCCTCAATTTCCTCACGGAAATTCCGTGAGCCATTTCCTCAATATAGTGTAGTGTGATTGAGTAAGAGCAGGAACTCTACAGTCAAATTGTATGGGTGGCAATTCTAGCTCCAACATTTTCTGGCTGTGTGACTTTGGGCAATGGTACTTAACCTCTCTATGTTTCAGTTTCATTCGTAAAACAGCGAAGATAATAGGGTCATCCTCAAGGGATGATATATGTTAAGATGATGTATGTCCAGTGTTTACAACACTACCTGGTAACTTGATTAGGAGTCAATAAATAATTCTCTTTTTTGTGTGCTTTACTGGCTGTTCTATTTAACCAACCCATCTAAGTTTTTTTCTGAACTTGGAAATGTTCTCAACAAGGTATAATTTTGGCTTACAAACTGGAAATAGATGTTCTACAGCTTCTAGACATTTTTCTTTTTTAAAAAACTTTTTATTTTGAAATAATTTTAAGCTTATAGGAAGATGCAAAGATACTACAGTGTTCCTACATGCCTGTCACCAGCTTCCCCTAATGCTAACATTTTATATAACCATGGTATAATTATCAAGATATTAACTAAACTAAAAATATTAACATTGCTATACTATTATAGAATTTATTTTTAAAAATATTTATATTTATTTATTTTTGAGAGAGAGCCCGTGCCCATAAGCAGGGGAGGGGCAGAGAGAGAGAGTGGGAGATACAGAATCCTAAGCAGGCTCCAGGCTCCTGTCAGCATAGAGCCCGACGTGGTGCTCAAAGCCACAAACTGTGAGATCATGACCTGAGCTGGAGTCCGACACTTAACTAACCCAGGCACCCCAATTACAGTCTTTAATATATTAATATTGGTATAACACTATAAACTATAGACTTTATTCAGATTTCCCCAGTTTTTGCTCTAACGTCGTGTGTCTGTTCCACGATCTAATTAAGGACACCACGTTTCATTTAGTCTTCATGTTTTTTTATCTCCTCCAATCTGGGACACTTCCTCAGTCATCCCTTTCCTTACTTGTGAAGAGTGCTGGTCAGGGAGTCTGTAGCTTATTCCTCAATTTGGATGTGTCTGATGTTTTCTCACTAACATCTTTAACTTTTAATAACTGAATAACTTTAACTGAAGTTAAAGATTTTGGGAAGGAGCACTTCAGAGGTGATACGCCCTGCACCTTGTATCAGGGAGTATATAATAATCAATATGCCTTCTTACTGGTGATGTTAACCTGGATCACTTGTGACAGAGGTGTCCACCAGGTTTCTCCACTCTAAAGCTACTATATTTTCTTTTTCATACTCGATTCATCAGAAGCAAAACACTAAGTCTAGCCTACACTCGAGGGAATCCATTAAATTTTACATTTTTGTTACTTTATTTTTCATTTCTAAGCAGCTTTGTTTGTTTTCTTGGTCACAGTCATATCCTTTTCTTATGGTTTTGATTTCTTCCATTAGGATTTTAATTATTATTATTTCTTAAATTTTTAACGTTTTTATTTATTTTTGAGACAGAGAGAGATAGAGCACAAGCAGGGGAGGGGCAGGGAGAGAGGGAGACACAGAATGCGAAGCAGGCTCCAGGCTCTGAGCTGTCAGCACAGAGCCCGATGTGGGGCTCGAACTCATGGACTGTGAGATCATGACCTGAGCTGAAGTCGGACGCTTAACCGACTGAGCCACCCAGGCGCCCCAATTATTTTCAATATACTTATTTTATAGATTCTTCAGGTATCTCTGCATTATCCAAAGCTTCTGGAGCACTGATTCTCCTGTTCGCTGTGTCTACAGACTCTAGTTTGCTGTGTACTATCTTACTGTGTGTTTTATAATTTCGGACTGTGATCTCTTCAATGGGGCATTATTTGGAGGAATCTCATGGACCTCGAGTTTGGAACAGTTCGAACAGTACAGTTTTCTAGTTGCTTCTGTCAGAAATAAAACTGGCTTGGCAATAATTCTTTTTTACTCTTTAATCTTGTGGGTTCCTGGATAATATGGGTAGTATAAATTCAGACTGTCGACCTACACAATGTCCAGGTCAGAGGATTTGATTGTTCAAGACAAGTTTTTGTTGTGTCTTCGCAATGATGGACACATATTTTGTTTTCTGGTCCATCCTTTTACTCAGAAGGCTGACTTGTGGAGGTCTTAGTCTTAAGCAGGGATCTCAGTTCAGATCCCCAATGGCTGGACCCAAGATCTCGTTTCTAGTCCCACGTGGGAGTTTGAAATCTAACCGAGTAGGTTATTAAAAGGAACAGTGTCCCACTGAGGGCAGCCACAGGATTGGGTCATGATATTTCTTCCCTGATTTGTTTTTTTTTTTTTTAATTTGATAAATTTGTTCAGCATTTATAGGTGTTTGTGACAAATTCTGTTATTTTAGTTAATGAACTAAAGCAGAAGCAAAAGTCTCCTATCTTTTATACCAATTTGTTACAAGTTTGACCTTTGCTACCTGTTTTTCTTACCTTTTCTAATATTTCCAACAATAAATTCTGAAGCCCCATTAAGTATACTGAAGACATGACTTCAATTGAAATCTTTTATTTTTGTTGATCTTCACAGAAATCAAAATTTAAAAATTCTTAGTGCTAAAAAACTGAGTTGGAATATGTATGTGAAACAGAAAAATGAGATACAGAACAAACTGAACCCTGGTTCAGGATCAGAAGTTTTGGATTCAAGTCCCACCTCAATGACTAGGTAGCTGGTTAACCTCACAGATAAAAGGTTGTACTCAGTGACTTCCAACATATTTGATTCTGTTTAATTCATAAAGATACACACATTAGATGATCATGTTTATTCACTTACTTGGCATCCAATCTGTCTAGTGTTACCAAGTAAGGGCTATGAATTTTTGGTATGATTACTAAAATCTTTCCAATAAGGAAATACATATATGATTACGTGGCCTTAGATATAACATTGGCTATGTGTATTTCTTTTGTTATTAAAATTGTAAACAGCATTAAGATACTTGTTTGCTCATAACTTTTAAGTACAAGCTGAAAACAAGTCCTCCCACTAACTTGGCATTTTATTAACACAGAGAGTTCACAATGTACAGATTTATAAAAACGTAACCAGGAAATAGCTGAACTATTTAGAGTATACACTGTATACTAAAAAGAAGGGAGAAAGTAATTAATTCATTTCCAATCTAGTGTAATAGTCTCTGTATATTTTTTCTAAAGTTTGTATTTAAATAAATATATGTGAATATGCAGAAATAATTTTCTGCACATGAATGTAGGTATGTGATACTTAGACTTCCCACAATGGTTCACATATTTGATGAAGACAAACGTAACCTTTATCTCATATTTTACCTTTTTTCTGGATCCTTTTGAAGGCACAATGAAATCATTTTCCTAAATGATTTTCCATATTTTTTCAGCATTTCTTTATCTTGAACGCCAGTTTCCAGAGAAGGAGGATCATTTTGTAGTGTCAGCATTAAAACCTGGAAGAATTTTCGATACAATATAAACTTGTGAAGATTCAGTAAAGTACTGCGGCCAAGATTCTTCAATATAGACAACCTCACAATACGTGAGGCTGTATTTTCTGAAAGTTCACATCTAGACCAGTTGTTTGGAACACTGTTATTTAGACCTTTTGCACACAAACAATATCCTACAGACAGTTGGCTTCCCAGGTTAACAGTAACTGTTCAAGGGCTCAACAGTATTAGCAATGAATGTCCTTTAGTTAGAAACCTTTCTTCACGGGGCGCCTGTGTGGCTCAGTCTGTTCAGTATCTGACTCTGGCGTAGATCGTGATCTCATGGTTCCCTCTCTGTCCCTCCCCTGCTCACCCTCTCTCATTCTCAAAATAAAGAAACATTAAAAAACAAAACAAAACACAACACCCCTTTCTTCAGGTCCTCTGTCCCCTTCCTTGCCTCCTTCCTTCCTTCCTTCCTTCCTTCCTTCCTTCC